TGCGAGAGCTCAGAACAAGTATGTGCTACTGGCCACGGATTACTTTACTAAATGGGTGGAAGCAAAACTATATCCGAGAGTGACTCAGACTCATGTGAGATGATTTATCTGGAGCCATATTATCTGCCGTTTCGGCGTTCCAAGGTCAATAGTCATGGATAATGGCACGAACCTCGACAGTAAGCAAGTAAGAGAACTGCTGGAGGAGTATGGAATTAATCAGAAGTTGGCTGCATTAAGTCATCCCCAGGCCAATGGACAAGCAGAAATTATAAACAGAACAATTTTCGCCTGCATTAAGAAGAAGCTGGAGGACCATAAAGGGAAGTGGTTGGATGAACTCCCGAACGTCCTATGGGCTTACAGAACCACCCCAAGGCGGCCGACTGGAGAGAGCCCGTTTGCAATGGCGTATGGTACCGAGGCGGTTATACCGGTTGAGCACTTGGTCCCAACTATCAAAAGCTTAACATGGAGTCAAAGTCAGAACAACAGAATGTTAAGATTGAACCTCGATATGATAGACGAAAAGAGGGACGCTGCAGCAATAAGGCTAACATCATACCAGCAAGTATTGGCGAATAGTCACAACAAAAGAGTGAAACACAGAGATTTTGCCCCTGGCGATCTGGTTCTGAAAAGAAAGGTGGGGATAGTCAAAAAAATGATGCCACCCTGGGAAGGCCCATACAGAATTGCAGAAGTCATAGGGAAGGGGGCATATACATTAGAAACCATGGCAGGAAGGTTGGTCAACAAGCCCTGGAATGCTACGTCTCTGAAGAGGTACTATCAATAAAAACTAAGTTTCAGTGTTATCGGATGTTGTTTGTTCTCAATCAAGTACGTATGAACGTGCAAATTCCTGAGATTTATAAAAATAGCTTTCCTTTTCAAGGGGATAAAAAAATGGATGAAAAAATGAAAAAGTAAAAAGGCTAAGTGGCAAGTGGCATTCTAGCCGAGCGCCAGGCACTTAAGCAAGATAAGTGGCATCTGGCACCATAAGCCGAACGCCAGACACTTGCTAAAAAATAAAAAGCCAAGTGGCAAGTGGCATTCTAGCCGAGCGCCAGGCACTTAAGCAAGATAAGTGGCATCTGGCACCATAAGCCGAACGCCAGACACTTGCTAAAAAATAAAAGGCCAAGTGGCAAGTGGCATTCTAGCCGAGCGCCAGGCACTTAAGCAAGATAAGTGGCAGTTGGCACCATAAGCCGAACGCCAGACACTTGCTAAAAAATGAAAAGCCAAGTGGCAAGTGGCATTATAGCCGAGCGCCAGGCACTTAAGCAAGATAAGTGGCAGCTGGCACCATAAGCCGAACGCCAGACCCTTGCTAAAAAATAAAAAGCCAAGTGGCAAGTGGCATTCTAGCCGAGCGCCAGGCACTTAAGCAAGATAAGTGGCAGCTGGCACCATAAGCCGAATGCCAGACCCTTGCTAAAAAATGAAAAGCAAAGTGGTAAGTGGCATTCTAGCCGAGCGCCAGGCACTTAAGCAAGATAAGTGGCATCTGGCACCATAAGCCGAATGCCAGGCACTCACACACACGACAAAGTCAATATATAAAAATAATAATAATAATATATTGAAAGTGGGTGTGAACAGAGCATAGCATAAAAAAAAAAAAAAAAAGTTTTATTATCTCATTCATAATAAGCATCGAGGTTACAAAAAGTGAAGCATTCAAATCACATAACTACAAAAGAGTATGAAATCAAGGTATCTGGAAGAGCCCTAGCTAGCTGCCTCAGTACCGATAGCCTCCTGGTTGTGCTGACCCACCTCCTCGTTCCCGTTAACCATCTCACCCTCACGAGGTGGGGAATCGAGATGAATAACAGAGTCGCTCTGCTGGGGCCCAACATCAGCAGTGACTACGGGAGATACCACAGTTGACGAAGGAAGAGGGATTAGAGGCTGAACGGTAGAAGGAGCTGTAGTGATCCTGGAGGAAGCAATCTCCTGACACTCATCAAATATGTGCTCAGCTTCGGTGGATTCTGGGTCAACATAGACCCCCAGAGGGTCAATCCCTAGATCCTTATCAATTTCATCCGGAGTTGAGCTGGTCTGGCCCTCAGCCGGAACTCGGTCGGAGAAACCATCTCGGAATCCCTGAGCATATCTAAGAGCTCCAACTCTTGAGAACCGAGCATGAAGAGCCAGTATTCCACCATTCACTCTGCTAATGGTGTCAATCAGAGCGTTGCGCTCGTCCAGAGCTCTTTTCTCAAATGCCATCCGAGCAGACTGCTCGTCAGCCAGAAGGCGCTGGAGCTCTGCCTTTTTATCTCTGATTGAATCGCGCTCAGTCTGCCAGACACTCTTCTCAAGCTGGAGGGCATCTTTTTCGTCCTGAAGAGAGTCGGTTTCCTTCTTCAGAGCATCTCTCTCTTTTTCAGCTTTTTCAAGCCGAGCCAATATCTCGATGTTCTTGCTGGCGAGAATATCGTTTTCCATATTAGCCACGTCCAGGCTATCAGAGAATTTACGGGCCCTGGCGTTCCCCATTTCCACATGTTTCTGCATAGCCATCATCCCGAACAAAGTCTGCATAGATATGCATGAATACTGGTTAAACCGATCGCTTGGTCGGACGATGGCAAGAGCAAATATTATGAGAAGATTCATGAGCTAGAAAATAAAAGTCACCTCCATGGTAGATTGGGGAAAGCGGCTGAACACATCCTTTTGTGACAGACCCTTCGCTGCCTCAAGGTCTTTTGGAGTCCACAGGCTCCTATAGTACGCCATGGCAGTCTAGCCATCCTTGAACATTGTCTCGTTCGGCTTTACGAAAGTCCCATCCGTTCGGGTGTATCGAGGAGCCCATGGTGGTAAAACAGGAATAGAAGCAGAGGCAGAAGCTGAAGCAGAAGCAGAAGCAGAGGCAGCAGCTGCAACAGGCCCGGAAGGTGCAAGAGCTCTGACTGGGCGATGCAAGAGAGCGCTCGGCCTAGAGACTCGGGTCCTCCTCTTAAGAGATTCCTCCTCGAGGTTGACTCCACCGTCAGGATGAGGTCTTTTGCATCGCTCTTTGTCCCGAGCACCCCTAGCAGCAGCAGGGGTAGTAGTGATCTGTGGAGATGTGCTTGGGTTGGTAGCAGGGGTGCTAACAATAGGATCAATAGCCACCGTACTCGGGATAGTGTCAGAGATGGTGGCTGAAGAAGAGGCTGATGCGGGAGAGGAGGTTGCTCCGGCAGCAGTAGTGGCTGGGGGAGGATTTTTCCTCCTACCAAAGGAAGGAATTTGAAGCCTGCTCATTGTATAGCCGAGGGATGAGAGCGCTAGAAGGTTGTCTGAAGTGAGGAGGTTTGAGCAAGAAAGAATATCGTTCAGAACGTATTTCTTCAAGTAATTACTCCTATCTATGCAAACACTGTAACTCAAGTCATCACAAGGTATGCCTTAGGAGCGACATAAGAAAGTACAAAAGCGAGGAACACATGTCTCGTAGGGACAATCGTTTTTATGAGATTTGAATTTCTTATACGAGGAGACAGAACAGACGCCAAAGGCGCTCAAGATTGGGTAGTCCTCTGCAGCCGGCGAAGACCAGGCCCCACTAACACCCACAATGTTATCCCTCCAACCCTTTTCAGATTTGATTGTATCCGTACATATGGACATCTTATCGATCGGGTAGAGGTGGTAGAATGGCTCGTCAGTTCGGATCTTACTGACCTTATAGCAAAGAAAAAAGATCTATGAGGTCAAGATCCAGACCTCTGTCACGAATCAATAGTAACATAATGGATATGATTCTAAAGAAATTTGGGTTTACCTGCAGGGGGGATATCCCCAGTCTATTGAAAACATAGTTAAAGAAGGGATGCAGAGGGAACCTAACGACATTCAGTTGAAGGTTAGTAAATAAAACCTCACCGGGAAGAAGGCCGGCACCGGTCATAATATTAACATCTCTAGGGCAAACCCTAACTTGGATGTTGTCAGGAAGTTTAAGTCTCATACGAAGAACATCTAGATCTACAACCATGGTGGAAGCGATTGAAGGATCTAAAAGAGTAAAAAGAAGTCTACCAAAAGTAAAAGGGAACAAGACTAACCTCTGGGGTAGAAAGCAGCAAAGAGCGCTGCAAGATCGCTGGAAGAATGACTCTTGAAGAAATTCACCGGATGAAATTTAGCACTGTTCTAAAAAGATGAGCGAGAGATTTGACTGATGATGGAGAGAGATGGAGACGGTAAAAAGGCATGAAGTGGCATTCTAGAGCCTTATAAAGGCGAAGTGGACCCGAGGGCCGAAGCGTCAGGGAGGCGAGAAATTTATCGAACCTCGGAACATTGATTCCGGATCCGACCGCCCATTTCCCCATGAGAGTTTCTCGAGCCGTCAATGTCATGATGAGACGCCTTTGATAATTACCCCCTTATTAAATAAGGAGTAATTATGGGGACAGTTGAGGAGGCCAGAAGTGACATGGGCCGGATATGACCCGCGAACATGGCATCCAGTCCGAGCAGCTGGGTTCAGCCCATAGAGAAATACTGTCATATGGGCCGAACGCAAATAGCCCATTAAAGATGACCAAAAGCCACAGAGGAACGGGCCCGGATCTAGTAGTCCATTAGTGTTTGAAAGTATTTATAAATATGAGAAGTAATGGATAGAGAAGGGGATTGATTCTGTTGAAGTGTAAGAATTCTAGAGAAAGAAAATGGAAATGAATTTCTTGCATCTTCAAATACAAATGAGTTTAATACAACAGTGAAATTCACATAATACATAATTTTTTGAGATGAAACATATATAAAAATGAATTTACCATATCAATATAAAAGATATGAATTAAACAGGCATAAATATAATAATGAGATGTAAAATTTAACTAAAATAAATAATCTCAAGAAAAGTGTCATGCTTCTCAGCCCAAATCAGATGACAAAAGTCCATCCAAAAAAGGACTGCCCAAAACATCCGGTCCGGGTTTGTCATTCGGACCATACCATATCACACCCAGTACTTTTGTCTAGTTCAGTTGGTGAAGAGTGACTTGAGTGAGAGGTTGGACCTTTGGAGCTGCGAGCAAGAAGAAGACGAAGATGAACACAGACATCACAGCATCGGCGAAACCAGAGTACCCAGTAATAGATCGAAACCCTCCCTTCACCAAAACAGTCACTAACTTCAACACCCTCGATTACCTTCGTCTCGTCACCATTGCCGGCGTCTCCGTCACCGTCGGCTACCTCTCAGGTCCACCCATATCCTCCCTCCATATGTATATATATATATATATATATATATACATACGTATTTGTGTGAATTGTTTGTTCAATTTATTAATAGGTTTGATTAATCTACAGGAATAAAGCCGAACATAAGAGGTCCTTCAATGGTGACTGGGGGACTGATTGGTGTAATGGGCGGGTTCATGTACGCCTACCAGAACTCTGCTGGGAGATTAATGGGTTTCTTCCCTAACGACGGAGAGGTAGCTAAATACAAGAAATAGAAACTCTTCTATTATTGGGTTTCGTGATTTGCATTTCTTGGATGAACTAAAATTGAAGACATCTACCTATTTTTCAAGTTTATGCATGATGAATTTTTGTGATGCTATCAATAATCAGATACTTCTCATTGCTTGTTGGTTGTCTTTGTTTTGAATTGCATACTTTGTTTTAATAATCAGCTATGCCCTTTTTGGTGCTTCCAGGCCTTTTAGAGACTGATTATGTTGTGGAAATGCTCCATTCTCAAATTATTATAGTTAAACATGCTTTACTGTATATATATTTGTATAGATTTTTACAAGGTAGACTATATTGGGGGAGAACTATAAAAACAATGCAAGTCATAGACACTGTATACTTCAAGCTTATTATCATAGAAGGATTAATGCCAATGGCAATCTTTCTGGAAGTAGTTTGGAAGTATGCAACCTTTTCAGAATATTGGAATTTGACAGAGTAGTGATCATATATGTAGTATCTGCAGTCTAAACATAAAATAGAAAGACGATCAAGTTATGAAGCAATCGATACGGATGCAAGCAAAAGGATAAGGCTGTTGATCTGGAGAAACAGGGATTCCAACATAATTAGGTATTGTTAGTTATGTTAGGGCATCACGTAAGGATATTTGGAAACTATAAGAGAATGAAATCATACCATTTTTGTTCCAAGGCATAGTGGTTTTGTTGCCCAAAAATAAAAAATAAATAAACCTTTTATTAAAAAAAAAAAAAAAGGGAAAGAAAGAAAGGATAGCACAAAAATTTGCAGCAGAAGTCAAAATAATGCCATGTCTTAAAATCCTAATCATAATGATACTAGCCAGTGACTTGCATTCTTAAAAGTGGAGCAAAAAATAGATTATTCTCATGTTTTGTGCAAAAAGAAGTGGCATGATTCAGGTCATTGCAACTAAATGTAATATATATTAAAACAGATAGGAATGATGTTTAGTCAACTACCATAGAGACTTCCATCTGAATCCTTGTGGACTACAGTCACTACACTATGTTGTTTTATGCATGTTTATGTTAATGATAAATACCTGTTTCTCATAAAATATTACGACAGCATTCTATAAAATGGATATGATTCTGCTTTTGATTAGAGAATCACATAGAATTGAACTTCTCATAACTAAATGAGTAAATCATTAATTATTAAAGCCTAACATTTCCTCATACTAGCTTATTTGAATAGCAAACAAGATTTTTTTGATCGGCAATTGCAAACAAGATGGTTAGGAGAATATTATCGTCAAGAGTAGTAATCTTTTTTTTTTTTTTTTTAGCCAAACAAAAGAAAGCATGCTTTTGATTTTTGTTTGGATAAATGATTGTTTAGCATATTGACTTTAAGTGATGCTTAGTATAATTATGATTGCATTGGTTCGGAAAAGTTGTGAAAACTGAAGATTGAGTTTGTTTCACTATTTTGAACTTGTCCAGGGTACTCTTTTGTTCATTAATCCTCTGAAATGCTTTTGGGTCCAAGTGTGATATTGAAGTAAGGAAATCTTGATTACTTGTGAGTATGGTTTGGGTATGTCACACATTATTCATATCCTCGACCTCCTCAAGAATCAAGTAGTTACTACAAGGATTGTTTAACTTGAGTTTTTAGCTACTTTTCCTGGTAGCGTTGAGATTTTGTATATTGAATTGATCAAATATTCTTCTCAAGAATTCGTAGTTGCATAAGAACTCGTGATGAAAGCAAAACCGTCACATCATCATTTTAAATGTCAGGACAATGAAAGTAGGTCAGGCTTTGCATAATTAAAGATTGCTTTTTCTTCCTTCAGTAAATTAAGTTTTATTAACAAAACAATGCAGTGAGCATGGATTAAAGACTGTTGATATAGTTAACAGACATGAAATCCTTTTTTTTTATTTTGCTGGAATTTTGATGATAAAACCCCCACAAAAGGCCTGGGCATGAAAGGGAAGCATTGTTCTACCTCTGTTTATCTTCTCTAGCCATTTCACCCTAGAAATTTGATAATCTGAAAGACAGAAAATATTGGAGATCATGTATAAAAGATACATGGTTGATGGTGGTCCAGATTGACTCGAGGATACTTAGCTGGGGTAGACCCCTTGCTAAGTACATGCCGCTCGCGGTGCATGGCTTGTAAAGTGTTTTTATAAGGCATGGTGGGGCTCTCACGTTTGTGCCAATTGGGTCCACAAACTAGACATGACTTGAATTAAATAAAATAAAATAAATTTGATAAAATAAAATAAATAAAAATACATCTAAAAAAATCAAGGATTTACATAAACATGGATTTAAAATATCAATGGGTAGAATTCTTAGCAATGCAGTTACAAGTACTCGATGAATGAAATAGATAAGTAAACCTGGAATGTGTCATGCATGTGGTGAAGTGTACTTCAATTACTTTCATTAATTGTAGAGGAGATTCTGAGTAAAATTTTGAGAATGGTAGGAACAACATTTAATATTAAATTATGGAACTACGACATGATCTACTGAGGTTGGATGTGTTTCTTAATCCTTAATGTTCATTATGTGAGGTTAGAGACTACTTGCTATTTAGAATTTGAATGTGTTCCCTACCTACTAATGAGATGATGAATGTTAAGAGGTTGGATGTGTTCTCTACATATGTTGAGAGGATGCATACGTTCCTTACCTAATAATAGAATGTTTGAAGTGTCTATTACCAAATAATGAATCACATTCCCTGTATAAGGAATTAAAAAGAATAGAATATTAAATAATTACATCCACTGAGGTTTTACTGCACCATATAGAGCTAAAAGGATTGAATAGTTGTCCCCATTTCAGCAAAGCTAGCTTTCTCCCCCTCTCAATTCAATGAATATGAATGAAAAACCTGGTCTTCAGAGAGCTGTTGAAGTGTTGAAATGTTACAAATACAGGATTGGCTTCAGTGGAGATTTTGTTTTTTTGTTCTTTTGGAAAGGCTTCAGTAAAGATTTTGGCCACTACTTGGCCGCATCATTCCCTGGTTTCAGCAAAACAGACAAAAATGGAGAATTTAAAGGATTTTGTTCTCTACCTACAGTACATTAAAGGCCAAGATGGAGGTGATAGACCTTCCCATAAAAGCACAAGATGATAGGGAAACCAACTCAATAATAGATTAACTTCCAAGACTCTTAATCCTTCTCTGTACTTGTTTGATCATTTGATCAATTTTTTTATATTTCCAGTGTCTTCTTTGTAGGGTTAAAAAATTGACCTTACAATCTCAAGCATCTTACCATTGTTAAGTTGCATTATAGAGGTGTATGTGTGTCCAACGGTCAGGGTTACGAGGCATGATTAGGTCCGTCAATCCTTAGGGGACCATCAAGACAACATCTCTCTTTGGAGTTTACTTAGCCAAATTGCTTTGCATGCACCAAGTTCTGTAGCTGCAAGCTGGAGGACAATCATGGGTTGTTTGTCCTTGTTTCCTCACAAAGCGAACAATCGAGGCATTCTTTTTTGTTGGTTTGGGATGGTAAAATGAGGAAATCTTCTCTTTACTGAACAGTAATGTTTCTACTGCACTTTTACTGACTGTAGAGACTTGAGTGTTTGTTAAATCATGTATCATTTATGATAAATAAGATTTCTCTTTTTCAAATTACCTTGTTATCTTAACCTTTGTTTGAATTCATCAGCCTAAGGATGTAATTACAAGGGACCTGAGTCATAATGTGTCGTGGAAGTGAAAACTGTACTGGTTTCTTTTTTTTTTCCTGATACATTAAAAGGAAGAATACAAATGCAAGTTGGATTGATCAACATCTGTAGCTTACTTGGTAAAGTAACTGGGTCCAATTCCACATTCATCTGTGTCATGATTTTGGGGTATGGGGAAGGCTAATCCCTATTGTGTAGCAATCACTCTCACTGGACCAGAAAAGGGAAAAAATGGTTCTAGTTGAATACTATAACAAAGCAGGGGAGTACAGCACTAGGATTTTGTACAATCAAGTATTCTAGCTTGGAATATAGTCCTCCACTTCCAATTGAATCATAATCTTCTTCATTTTCCCCATCAACCATATTAGCTACTCTGAGAATTCTCCCAGCTATTGTGCGACAAACTATTACAGCCCTCCTTATATTTTGCCCCTTTGTATTGGTGATCATGTTCTCACTCAGATCCTGGCTGCTCGTGCTCAACTGAATTCCATTCTTCCTCATGTATTCTGTGTTGAAGCCTGATTGAATTATTCTGCAGACGCGACAGAAGGGATCTCTACAAAGCTCAGATACACCGTTTGTTAGCTTTCTGCTGCAACAGGTCATCGTTGTGCCATAGAAGCGTAACAACTCATTTCCATCCACCATGCTTCTTGGATGCCTTTTATTTTGTTCATAGGCTTTGTTCTTCACTGCCCCTCTGTACTTCTCAAACTTTTCTAGCATCTCTATTGGGTTGTTCACCCTAAGAACTTTTTTGATCTTCATGTAATGCTTTGTGGAGTTTGTTGATGCTGCTCGGAAGATCATCTCAATAACATTCCTAGACGGATGACCAAGTTCCAGCTCTGCTTGAACACAAGAAGAGAGTATGAGAACAACATTACATTTGGATCGATGCTGCCATCCGAATTATGTTTAACTAGGTTTTCCTGGTTGAAATTTGAGTCAGCCTGATTGAATGGAGGTTCTTGCTTACAGGCCTTCACTAAGAGAACTGTGCAATATGTTGTGAGAAATGTTCAACAGTTAACAACATGAGGAATTGAGGAAGTAGTTAGCTAGAATGCTTACCATAAAACTGCTTGGGGGTCTGGTTTTGCCCAAAATTCACGTTGCACGATGACCTTTTCATTTGACGGAGAAGCTCACTGTCTGAGGTATCATTTTCAAGAGTATAGCTTCTGTTCTGAACGAATTTTTCTGTCGTGTGAACTACATCAGTTAGCTTACTCCTGCAGTTTACATTCTCCTTCAAAGACACCCACATGGAATGCATCTCTATCTATCGCAAATTTGGCTTCACCAGTACTTACTGGCTATTATCTCCCCAATCTGTGAAACCAAAAAAAAAAAAAAAAAGGTTAAATGAAACTTGCCTATACGTTAAATCCATGATGACACGCTTCTATACCATCACTACTAATCTCACTGTCATGTCATGCTCATGAAGCAAAAAAAAATTTAAGGCTATAAATGTGTGTTTGTATGTGTGTAGATACATAAAACTAAGTTAAGTTACAAAGAGTTGCAGCATACCAGAAACTAAAGTAAGTCTCTCTTCTAGTCCACGAGAGATTGGAAGTTCAAGGTACTTTTATGTGTCTTTTGAAGGAAAGGTAGTTACGGCCACAACGTGGCTGTAGCATCATTCATCAGAGTCAGTCTCGTCTCAAACCAAAGAAAGACAAAAGTGAGGATTTAAGGAATTTTGTATTCTATCATATGGTGCATTAAAGATACCGCTGGAAATGTCTGTCCACAAGAAGAGCTACAGAAATGCCTACAAGGCTACACCACATTTTGGTTTCTGTACTGCTAGAGATGAGGTAAATAGTATCATGACCTTTCCCTTTCTTTTGTATTTGTTGATTGTCATCATTTTGCTCCACAGGCTTCATATTGTTGTCCAAGAGAAAAAGGCCTCCTGCACAAGTAATCAAATTCTTTTCAGTAAAGATTTTTCGAGAATTTCACTACTATAATGAGTTGTAAAATTTTACCCCAGTAAAATAAAATCCACCAACCACGAAAAATAGCGAGAAATCATCATTAGAGAGGATTCGGATCTCTCTAAAAGATCCTTATATATACACACACATACATACACACAACACTTACTGATATTATACACTCTTGGAAAATGCAAATCCAGTACAATTCAGAAAGAGAGCTGTAAAACTGGAGAGGTGAAAACATATAATTTTGTCTTTTTCAGGGAAAGAAGATCCAAAACAACTAAAAACTCTTGATCAAAATATGCTTCTCAGCAAGGTTTCAGGCCACAATTGAGCAATGATCTTCAAATTCCCGTAGTCAGTCCTTCAAAGAAAGGCCTGGACGCAAAACAATACAACTGCTGTATATATACATGCACACTCTTTCTTTGAGAAGCAATTCTAACTTCAATGCAGCAATGACAAGATCGTTGAAATAGCCATTTTCAAACCCAGACAGATTTTTTTTTTTGGTAGTATTTGGCAACCCAAAAAAAAAAGGCGCTGATGGTCCCTGGGAAGGCTCAATTTTTATTTTTCCATGACCGATGCACTGCAGGATTGTTGCCATTGCAGATCTGTTGCATGTGTACACACTACAAGCCAAATAAGACCATACAGAAAGTAGATCAATACCAAATAGCATCACATACAAACAGCAAGCTGAGAAGAATACACGGTAAATAGTATAGATTTTATTGCAATTATTCTGAGTTTAACAACAGAATGGCAGCAGCTCTACAGGATCAACGTGGATAGACTTCTAATTAAGCTCCTGTAAACAATTAAGTTCAGCAGTCTAAAATGATAATAATAGAAATTTCCAAGAGAAGTAAAATTCAAAGCTCTGGTCAATTCCAAAGTCTCGTGGGAAAAAAGTAAATTACTAATAAAACAAGACAAGCATGAACAAAAATGGAAACCACAAGAAGTTCAATTTTGTTTTCTATCACAGTTCCAAGTATATACTCATGAATGAACAAAAAAAAATTGGATTCATGAAGGTTTATCTACATGGATGTCCTGTGTCCTCTTCTGAGGGGCTAGGTAGGGTGGGATGTCTGGTTTGGTCACATAAAAAGTCCTTCTTGGAACCACCATCATGGTTATAGAAAGTAGCCAAAAAGAAAATAAAAACCCCAAAAATGACTAAAACTAAAAAAAAGGGATGATACAAGAAACAGAATACTTGGTACACTATGACGGATGAAAAAAAATGAAGGATTTTCCTTTCCCATATGGTTTCCAAGTGTCCTTATCATGATATTTTCTATTTTTATTTTATATATATATATATAACTTTGAAACACCAAAAAAACGGTATAATCAAATTTAGAGACAACATGCTTTTCTGATAACCACTGCAGAAAAGTCGGACAAAAGCGCTGTGATGTAATCGAAGATTATATACACACAGAGAACGGAAAAACTATTGTGGATGGTAAGCTGGACGGTTTTGCGGTGGCAAAACATATCCACCAAAAGCAGTTGGCCTATCAATATAACCAGATGGCATCTGTAATACTGAACGATGATATTGATAGGACCTTGTCGGGGTTAGGTTCCCAGTAACAACCAAAGAGGCCCCTGCCAAACCATACTGCAAGTTTGACGAGTCTGCTGGAAAAGAGGCAACAGCAGGAGTGGATCCTCCCAAAACTGAAGTATGGAGCAGGACGATCTGGCAATGAAACTGCTGGCTGTAGATTAGGTTGTTGCAATGAGGGCAAAGTTGAACTGGCAGCGGCAACACTCATCGGAATTGCTGCTGAATCAGTTGGTGCAGTACTCCGTTTCTGTTGCTTTGACTGCTGCTGAGACAGTGGAGCAGGGGCTGCTGCAGAATGTTTCCGGAAATAAGCAGTCTCCTTCTCTAGCTTCTCAATATGCTTTAAAAGGTTCTCCTTCGACAGCTTGCGTTCAAGCTTGCGGATCGCAATGTATCTGATCATTCCTTTCAACTCAAGGACTTCATCTGTTCTGGCCTTATTCTGCGAGATTAAGTTTATGATGTCACACGGGTGACTAATTGATTTCGAAGATGAAGGTATCTCAACAATCATAAAACGAGATGTAATATAACCAGTGAATGAAGAGAGATCTTTCCGCTCTTGCCAACTTTCGGAGCAAGGTTCTTGGAGTCCATATAGTCTTTGAAAAGGAGTACTGGTGGGAACTTCTTAGTCAGCTTAAATTCAAAACTGCATTTGATAGCCAAAAGTTGTTTGCCCTTACCAATGAGTTTCTGAATAAGATCTGCAACAACCGAGAAATATTGCTGACTACATCAGATTATTCTGAAGGTAACATAAATGACAACCAGCCATCACGGATTTAAGCATAAAGTTTTCACTGATATACATTTGTTTGATAGGATTCAAAATATATAAAGCAATCTGGTCTTGAATGCCCCAATTAACAATTTTGATGCTTGGATTGAGCTTAATCATGGCACGAGTAATAATCAAGGCGCTGATTGAAGTAGTGCTTTCCCATAAATCAAGCATATGGTGTGTTGTGGTAGGACCTTTCTTTCCCTTCCTAAACAACTTCAACTATATTACACGTCCATTTTTCTTTTATTAAGGCTATCATGCCTTTAACTTATCCGGAAAAAAAAGGCTACCATGCCTATAGGAATTCCTCTTGTATCTATTGCCTACCAGAGAAGATTACCTAACCAAATATGTATTTTCCAATAACCATTTAGCCCCCCGTCCTGCATTTAGCCTACCTGTTCCAATTTCAGAATTTCCTAAAAAGTACATGTACAAATTTTTTGTGTCCATTAAGATTTAATCCTAGTTGACAACCAAGACTATTGCAGCACTAGTACATGGAAAGAGACGGTTGCTCCCTAGTTGTATCTGTTCCCTTCTTACAGTGAAACCAGGCTTCTGTGAAGCAATGCAAGAGTCACAATAAAATGCAAAGTAGGATACTGGTAGGCTTATATGGAAGAAAAAGGTACAAGAAAACCATCCTTACTTCATGATCACCTAATTAGTTTTTCTTTTCTTTTTTTACTGATAAGTAATTTTTCTTTTGACTGTGAGGTATAAAAACAATTTATTGGAACATTTAAAAAAAAATGCAAATCAAATGACTAAAACCCATGCAACCATATTATATTTTACACTTGACACATTGGATGGGAAGTCCCAATACTAAGTTGATGTCGGCCAGTACTAATGTCGTAGTTGACCAATATCATTCAGTATTTGCAAGTATGTCATACCAACTGATATATAAAACTAATTACCTATCTTTATTCTCAATAGATTGATTAAATGAGCGGTAAGTTATATCCTAAATAATCCCACAAAATCTACTAACTTTTTTTTTTTTTTTAGTTGCTGAAATAATTTTATTATAGTGACCATACTCCAAGAATTCAGGAACATGTATCAAGCTCACATCGGATTGTCTTATAACCACCCATACTATGAACCACTGAATTTTCTTCACTTCAGTTCTCTAAGATCACTGCCAATTACTACTTTTTGATCTTTTCAAAATTATAGTCCAATAAAAAAACCCCAATATATACAAGAAAAACTCCCACAAGACTTCATGTCTGAAATATATAAATAAATAGTTAAATAAGATTAAAGAAAATAAACAGCAAACTCAGACTAATATATCAAAGCTGCATTCAGAATTGATATCCAGCCAAGCAATGATCCAGTAGCTGAACAATTGAAAAACACCATATAAGCAAAGTGTAGGTGTCAATTAGCACTACAAACATGACATGTTGAAAAGTCAACAATAGCCTACATGGCACTCAGCCACAGCTCACGAAGGCACCTACGTTACACATTGAAACGTCAAAAGGAAACTCTGACAATACAACCAGTCATCAGATATTGAGGATACAATCCTTGAACCCGAAATAGACCCTGGCACTATCCAGGTTATCAAAACTTGAAATAGCAGTGTCTCGAGCATAATCAAAACCCTGACACTATGTCAAGTCATCTTGAGAAGATACAATTCTCGTCGCTCGAGCTCAAAAACAAACCTTGGCATCATACCAGGTCATCAAGCCTTGAAATCACAATCTAAACCTTGACATAATATCAGGTCACTGAATCTTGAGAAGGTAACCGTGGCACTATACCAGGTCATCAAGCCTCGAAATCACAACTTTTAAGCCTAGCCAAAACCCTGAAAATAACATCAGGTCATTGAATTTGGAGATCACAAAATCTCGAACCTAAGCAAAACCCTGGTATTATTACTAGGTCATCAAATCTCGAAAATACAACTCACAAGCCCAAATGAGACCCTAGTGACATACTAGGTCATTGGATTTTTTTTAGTTCTGATCTCAAACTCAAGTTGTTAGTATGGACCGAGATACAGGTAGGATCTCCTCTAATACTCACAACTGGTACATGGGACACTTAGAAAGATTTGAATTGGATGATAGAAGTCGGAATTTGCATAGAGTAAATAATAGGCCTAGCCAAAGGGATGGTTAACCCAGTGCTTGACACTTACACTCATAATTAAATGAGAGTCATTAATACTTTCAAGTACCGCCGCCACTACGCACCAAATGCATTTAAAGTTTGCGTCTAAGGTCAACACACCACGCCAATTAGAAGCATGGTTTAAGGAGAAATTTGACCCCTTAGACACCTTAGGGAATCGTGACCTATCACCATAGGTCCTAGATAAAGACCAAATCCATCAGGAACCATTGGGTATTATCCTACAAATCTCAGACTACAAATACAATTACTAGGGCAAACATTAAAGGCAGGACAATTGATCACATTCATACACTCAGACAAATATTCCTACCTTCACAGGAAAATCCCATTGGCTATACTACTTCTCCTTCATCAAGAGTATCTCATTTGGGTTAGTGTCCCTCACATTTGTGTTTGATATCTTCCTTTTTATTTTAATATCTTGTGTAACAGTAAAGATTCAGTATACATATAGGTAAGTACATATATACATCATCATCAAGTACATATATAAAACATACATACACACACAAAATTGGTACAAGAAGAATATAAAAGTGCATTCTTAAGAGAACAAGTGAAACCCTCACCAGAGTTTTTATCCTCCAAACCCAGAGCCCGGCACAATATAATTGCTTTCTTGTGCTTCACAGCAAGGGTAGCTAAATCAAGAAGCTCTTCCGTGTTACAACAATCCACCAACCCATACGCCACCGGAAGATTCAAAAAACCCAACGCTTGAATTGAATTATCTGCGTCAACACTCACCGTCCCCTTCCACTCTGGCGCCAAGTTCCTCGCTCTCTCCCTCACTTCCGGCCTAATCTCCAGCTTTAACTTAATCAAGGCCTCCAGCAGATCCACACAACAACTCCTCAAAGCAAGAAATTCTTTTTTAACGAATCGAAAAGGACACAAATTACGTATCCAAAACCATTGCCGCAGCGTCCGGCGCGCACCGCAACGAGGCAAACAATTGCTCCCCCAAGCCTCTCCCTTCCCTCCACCGCTTCACCATGTATCTCCTCAGACCCAACCCGTCCATCTTCTTGCAAAACGATTCCAATTCGGACCGAATG